TGCGGCGACCGAGTAGATGTGTGCGAGGTCGCTCCAGTGCGAGCCCTTCAGCCTGCCTCGGAATGAGCACGCCACCGAGGCTCATATACTGTGCTGCGGATGCTATGAGAGACACGTACCACATTCCGACAACATCTCCTTGCTTGAGCCCTTCGGCGGTCAGCCTGTCGCTCCAGTAGGAGGTAGCTGCTGTGAGAGCGTCCAGGAAGTCCTGGTAAGTGATGAGTCCCCATTCGAAGCTGGATACATCGCCCTCGAAGGGCCGCATGAAGGGCTGAGCCGCATGAAGTTGCAGACGTTCAAGAACGAAGTTCATGAAATGCGCCATGGGGAGCCGCTGCAGGTACGAGGGGAAGGAGTTCGGATGGCTTGAGCGAGCTCGTCCTCTCGCGGTTAAGTTTTATGGTACCTTTACTTCAGCTATGCCCGATGGGATTCTGTTTGATGGCTTATACAGATAGACGCGATTCTGAGCGCTGCGATCCAAAGCCCGCCCAAGGACCCTATAGTGCCTGTGATGTCGCATATGAGCACCGACTGCGATCACGCTTTTGACAGAATCGAGGTTGCGTACGAATTGATGTGCTCAGGTAAGTCCGTCTCTATCATAGAGGGACCGGGCAATCTGCCTATCGCCAGGGAGCCATAACGCAGCAAGAGCGGGTACACTTCCACCAAGGAAGCCCTGTTTGGCGCACATGCTATATGTACAGTCTAGTATACAAGGGGTTGTCTTGAGAGCATCAGCGTACTGACGGAGGAAGTAGGAAGGGGTGTCTTACCTATTATTTAGTACAGCTTGACTACTCGTCCCAGCGCATTGCCGACGGAACCCAGTACGAGACTCCGTACACTTCGTCCTGCTCGTCCAACCAACAGAGGCCATCCCGTAACAGCATGTTCGCAAGGGCGGCACGAGCTCGTTCCTGCGTCCATCCACGACGCGATGTCAGGGCCGCCTCAGACACGCGCCCTCCGTCCTCCTGAGCTACTGCGAGCACGACGGCCTGGTCTGAGTCCAGCTCCTTCGGCACGCTCCTGACCATCTTCTTCCCGCCGCCGACGTCGATGACCTCGTAGCCCGCGTTGAGCGGCTTGAGCGTCTTGATGCTCCGCATCACGTCCTCCTCCGTGATCACGTCGCCGCCGACGCCTCTGAGCTTGCTCACCAGCCTGATGAGCTCGCCCATCTCAATCAGGCCCCCGTTCCTCTCCCGGGTGCTGACGCAGACGTCGACGATCTGCACGCCGAGCTCATACTGCCAGTCTCCGAGCCCGAGCATCTCCGCCCACCATCCGCCTTTCCGGGGGCCGGCGAGGGGGTCTACGCCGATGGTGGTGCACATCTGCTGGAAGGCGTGGCGGAACGACGGTTCCTTGCGGATGCGGTCGCGGTGGGTGGATGCATAGTGAGCGAGAGCGCTGCGGAACTGAGCGAGCTGAGCGTGAAGTAGGTCGACCTGCGCCTGTGAGATCTCGTTGGACAGTTCGGCGAAAGAGCGTTGCGACTGTTGTTGACGGTCAAAGGCTGAGATGCCTACTCCACCTAGACGATGCATGGCAGTATGCAGACGAGATTGTCTCGAGAGGAACCTGGAGGTGTCGAGGACATGGACGTTGAATCGTTCAGGATCAAGCCCTGCCCGTGAATTGCTGCAAGTGGAGGGGATGCAGATAAGATTAGATTCAACAATCAAGAACCGGCGGCAATGAGTTCCAGTTCCCCTGTCTCTCTCGGGGCACGGAGGATCCTAAAGAACATGTTTGAGAAGGACTCAGGCGCATTTGGCTGCACTTTGCCTGTCCAGATACGGTTACAGGGTATACAAGTCAACGGTGCCAAGGTCAGACCAACTCGAATGGACCCCCCGGCCTCGCGTAGTACGTACTTACACGCCATCATCATGTCCAGCCTGCGTCCTGCGCGTCCTTCGCATGCACTCGGAGTTGCATGCGCTCGGGGCCAAAGCTCAAGGCGTTCACGTTCCCTAGTGATACACGGCAACAATCGTCCTCACCGCCTTCGCGATCCCCACGAACTGCGCGGTCGGCGGCTCCTCCCGCACGCTTACCGCCATCTCGCCCTCGCATTCCGGCGTTTCCCCGTTTTGTGCGTACATGCGTGCGGCCGAGCGGACAGAGAGGCAACAGCAGGGCACGGTGACGGTGACGGTGAGCGATCGGCGGCTCGTGGACCTGGTGAATTGCGCTTCTTCCAGTCTGTCAATACAAGCGCCAAGTCAGCGTTTGTACGATTCTCTCGCCGCAGAGGTGGAGGTGGAGGTGCAAAATGCTGACCGAACATACGCCCCAGTTCCCAGGACGACCTCATGCAGCTTCTTCAGCACTAGCGCGTCGTCGAGGGTCGCGTTCGGGTCACCTAGGACGACCCACGAGCCCTTGAACACGCACGTCCACGGACCGGAGTCATCCTCCTCTCCCTCGTCAAGTCCGTCCGCGAAGAGCAGTACGCCTGAGGGCGCGACCTTTAAGCCGTCATCCGTCCTCGCCACAGCCTTCCCTTTGCCCTTGCCGCGTATGGTCGGCGACGAGAGTTTCGGGGTGGACGTCAACAGAGCGACCTTCAGGGCATCGCACAGCACCGCGCTCGTCTGGTACTCCTTCGCCGGCGTCGCGTCGTCTCGCAACCTAGACGTCGATGCCTTTCGCTTGGAATTGGTCTTGGACGGCGACGCAGACAGGGAGCGCGACCGCCGCTTCCACTGCATCGTTTTCAGGTCGAGGTAGTACGGTGGAGGAGCCACCGGAGCAGCCGCAGACTGAGGAGCGATGGGCACAGCAGAGGTGCTGTTTCGTCGCGTGCGACTGCGGCCCCTCCCTACACCAGCGCTGGACGGTCCAGCAGATGCACGGTCTTCAGTGTCGGATGCATCTCTGAGAAGTTCGACGTAGTCCATGAATCCCGACGCTGGGAAGGCGGAGGGCGCGCTCTTGCGCGGACGGCCGCGGGGGCGCTTGATAGGCACAGGAGGGAGGTCGGACGTCAGAGAGGGGTCAGTCGCTCTCATCCTAGTGGGCGCAGAGGGCCCCGCTGAGTATGAATGAACGGCAGAGGAAGTCGATCCGAGTCCTCGCACTCGAGCGGCCGCCTCCTCCCGTGCAAGCGTTGTCTTGTTCTTGCTCCCGCGCGGCCTACCTCGAGGTTTCTTGCTCGGCCCCGCCGAAGCGTTCTCCGTCTCGGTCGCGGTACCGTTGACGGCCTCCTCCGCCGCCTGCCGCTCCAGGGCGCGCGCGAGCGGTCCCACATCCACGGACTGGTAGACGAACCTGTACTCCTTGGATGGAGAGCTCGTTGTAGGGCCGTCAGCTCGGGAGGTGTTCCGCAGGAGCTGCCTAGTCACGGCCTCCTCCTCGGAGTCTTCTGCATCGCTACCGGCCAGTGCTGGCCTGGAGTTGGACGTACTGGCCCGTCTGTTAGTACGGGAGGCCGAGCGCGCTTTGGCGGGGGAGCTGCTCGCACCAGGCGGAAGGGGATGTTTGCGAGGACGACCAGGTCCTCGTTTGGCAGCAGTAGCTTGGGCAGGAGGCCGACTGGGCTCTACAGGCGGGACGTCACTTGTCCGCCGTGACCGTGTCGACCTGAGTTCACTATGAGTGATCACGGGGCCCAGCGCAACGCGCGCGCGACCACGACCGGGCGGCCTGCCTCGTCTCCTCCTCGGCGGCTCACTAGACGGCTCAGCGAATCCAGTCGCGGACGTGGATGCTGTCAAGGCAGCTGCAGCGAAAGACTGGTTCAATGCGTCGGTCAGCGATAGATGGGTACCGGACTGCGCTCGCCGACGGCCGCCTGGACGTCCCGCAGGTGAAGCATCGTCCGACGTAGGAGGGGGTGATGGAATCGCGATTGGCTTCTGTTTGAGCGGGCGTCCGCGTGGACGCCCGACACGCGTTTGGACGTCCGCTGCATTTGTATGCTCCGCCTCTTGGGACGAGAGCAGTGGCTGGACGTACTTCTGGAGCTGAGACGCAGGTTGGGAAGGTATTTCGACAAAGACAGTCGAGCGTCTCCTCCTGAGTGGGGTCTTACTACGGGCGGTGCGTTGCGTCGCAAAAGATGTAGAGGGGTCCAGCTCGTTATATGCGCTGTGGTGATCCATCAGAGCAGCTGCACGCGACGTTTCTTCCTGCCTATCCTGGTCTCTGAGGTCCCCCCGAGGTAGATCCGCGCCCAGTGCAGCCTCGGCCTGATTCGTACCGTACTGCACCCTGGTCGGGGACTCTTGTGGAGATGGGACGTGAGGCACTGTGATTGGTGGTAAGCACACAAATTGCTACTGAGAAGATTCTAAGCAATGGTCCGTTGCAGCCTCGAGCTTACCAATCGCCCTGGCATACTGGAGGCTTATCATCAACTACACTGCGAAGCCACACGCATACAATGACATTGTTTCGAAGCCGACGCAGCTCGACGCAGCCTCATCACTTTTTCGTACGCAACGGCCGAATTCGCAGCATGAGCCGCCCCCCCCCCCCTCCCCGGGACGAGCTAACGCAGGAAGATGGACAAACTCACAGCTCTCAGCCTCCACTTCGAGTGGCTCGTCTCCCGCCGATGAGTTAGCGCGCGAGCGCGCGCGCTTATGTGCGTACGTCCTGTATACGCGTGCTGACCGCGCAGGCGTCCCAAACGCATCTGTACGCGTCCCGGGCGTGAGTTCTTCGGGGTCAGGAATGACGGGCGAGAGGTCGCGTTGCTTGCGCTTCCCGAGCTGTGCAGGAGTGCCGACGCGATTCGACATCGTCACAATCGCTCAAGGTAATGGTTTAAACGGACGTCGGGCGAGGCGATGATGTAGAAGACAAGGAGAACGTGGCAGACGGTGAGCAAGATGTCTTTGGCGTCGTCGCGTCCGCCGACCAGAAACGCTCAAGGCGTGGTACTTTCCCACGCCAAACCGTCTCACATGATCGCGTCTCCCGGGCCCCTTCTCCGTCCCCGCCGTCGCTGAGGACTTCTTGAAATGGCTGTTCGCCAAGCCCGCCTAGCTCAATCGGATAGAGCGTCAGACTCTTATCCGCACGACTTGGCTCGTCGGGCAAATATCTGAAGGCTGCGAGTTCGACCCTCGCGGTGGGCTAGTGTCTTTTTCTCCGGCGCAAATTCTCCTTCGGGAGGTACTCCTTCTCGGAAGTTCATACAGAGACTTACTTTTAACCATGTCAATGTGTACGAGGAGTCCTCTTGCTTTGTTGCTTTGAGACTCGTGCAAAGACGTCGCGCGGCTACTGCGGCTTCAAAAAGGCGGCTTGAGTCACTTCATTCAAAGTCCGGCCCCTTGAGTCCACTGTCCGGTCCTGCCCTGCTTTTTGTGTGCCTGACTGACATGTAGGTGCCTGAGCCACAATTGATGGCGTGAGTGCATACGGGACTGCTACATAACGCAGTACTCTGTTCTTTCTTACCTTGACCCACAGCTAACCACCTCGATCACGCACAGTAGGGCTGCAGGACTGCCTGCCTCCGCGCAGCCTGCGAGGCTGGACTCGGCGCCATGGAGGGAGACTTAGACCGGTATGACCTCTCACCTGCCTCACGGCTGGGTCCGCACTACCTGGAGGTGAGTCGAGAAGATGTGATACGTGTCCGAGTCGAGGAGATGCACCACCGTATTCCTAGCCCACCCAAGCGGGTTCCTAATGAGAAGCTGGGTGACTTCCGCGAGAAGCACGGCACCTCCGACCCCGTATAGCGCCGATGTATGCGGCCCGCTGCAGGGAAGCTATAGGCACCGTGCTCTGTTGCGGGACACAAGGCATCTTCCCCATCTGCGCCTCAGGTCGATCCCGAAACCCGTCACCTTGCGAGTTTCAGGAGTTGCTCGACGTATTTTCGCAGTTGCGGCTGGCCTTACGGGGACTCGCAAGCGCGAAGAAGCACTACATATGGCACGGCTCCTGCGCTATTACTGAATCGTTTGCTATACTAGCATCCGAGTTACCCCGGGGAAAAACCTTCAGCGTTGCCCGGAGCAGCTGCACATGGTGCCGCTGCGTTCTGACGCCCGGCCTTGAGCTTGGAGATAGCATGCGCGGTTCCGGCGAGATGCAGGATGCCAGCGATGGCATTGCATCTATGATGACATTTGTCTGTTCATCTTCGGCGCCGGCATCGCTCACTATATATCCGTAGAAGATGCTTGCTGACAATCCTCCGGTCCCCCAGGTTCTGGCCACAATCATGCCCCCCACCTACTCATCCGAGGACAGGCAGTCCGCGGGGTCGCTTCATGACAAGCATGCAGAGGACGCGGAAAAGAACGGTGAGCGCCACTTGCTGCTTTCTTGCCCTTCATCCCTCTGACAGCCCGTCCCTCGGTTCAAAGCCGTAGTCAACCACCATCTTGTGGCCCCACTAGAACCAGAGTTCGATGACCCTAATATCGACCCTGATGCGATAATACTCGGTAAGAGCGACACGGTGTGTCCAGTGTACTGTTACTGAGCGTACTTCACTTGAAGATGACGACTCGCCCTACCCGGAGGTGCGCTCTGCTGTCGCCAACACCGACGACCCAGAAATGCCGGTGAACACTATGCGCGCTTGGGTCATCGGTATCGTCTGGGCCATTATCCTCCCCGGCATGAACCAGTTCTTTTTCTTCCGGTACCCTTCCGTCACCGTCACAGGCGTGAGTCAAGCTTCACTGTTGACTGGGTGCGCTCATCACTGACCGCATCCTTCGAACACCCAGATCGTTGCGCAGCTGCTATCTTACCCTCTCGGACGGCTGTGGGCATACGCGCTCCCCAATGTGAAGCTATTTGGCATATCTGTCAATCCAGGACCATTTACCGTCAAGGAACACGTTCTCGTCACGATAATGGCCAACGTGGGATACCAATCTGCATACGCGGTATGTGTCGCGTCGCCAAGATTCGTCCTGATTGGCATTGCGCTTTGCGCAGACTGACCTAGGCAATGCCCAGACGGATATCGTCGCGGTGCAGCGTGTATATTATAACCAGATATATAACTTCTCGTATCAGTGGATGGTCGTGATGTCCACGCAGATGGTCAGTTCTGCTGCCCCTCCCAACACTCTATCTGTCCTTATCTCCACCACAGATCGGGTTCTCTATTGGTGGCATAGCCCGCCGTTTCTTGGTCGCACCGCCCTCCATGATCTGGCCCGCGAACTTGGTCACTTGCGCGCTGTTCAACACGCTGCATTCGCAGCACTACGCCGGTATGGGGAACCGAGGCGGAATATCCCGCGAGTGGTTCTTCCTCTACGTCTTCCTCGGCTCGTTCTTCTGGTATTTCTTCCCGGGCTACATCTTCCAGGCGCTCAGCTACTTCACCTGGGTGTGCTGGATCGTGCCGAACAACGTCGTCGTCAACCAGCTGTTCGGGTACTACAACGGGCTGGGAATGTCCCTCATCACCTTCGACTGGTCGCAGATCACGTACATAGGCTCTCCGCTGGCGACGCCCTGGTGGGCCGAGGCGAACGTCGCGGTCGGCTTCGTGTTCTTCTTCTGGATCCTGACGCCCATCCTGTACTACACCAACACCTGGTACGCGAAGTTCATGCCGATCTCGACGCGCACGTCGTACGACAACACGGGCCACGAGTACAACGTCACGCGCATCCTCACGCCCGAGTCGACGCTCGACATCGCGAAGTACGAGCAGTACTCGCCGCTGTTCCTCTCGATGACGTTCGCGATGACCTACGGGCTCTCGTTCGCCTCGATCACGGCGACGATCATGCACACTGTGCTCTTTTTCCGCAAGCAGATATGGATCCAGAGTCGGCGGTCGCTCTCGGAGCAACCGGACGTGCATGCGCGGCTCATGTCCAAGTACCCGCAGGTGCCGGAGTGGTGGTACTCGATCATCTTCGGTACGTGAGCATCTAGGACGTCTATCAACCTTGTCTCATAGCTCGTCTCCAGTGACGATGTTCGTCTTCGGTGTCATCTCTATCGAGGTTTGGAACACCCAGATGCCTGTCTGGGCTCTTGTACTGGCGTTGATCATCGGTATGTTTACTCTCCATATTGCTTTAACATACATTACTCACCCCGCTCCCAGCTTTCGTGTACACCATTCCAGTAGGTATGATTCAGGCGATCACGAACCAACAGGTCGGGCTGAAGTGAGTAGATGAAGTCGTGTAGTGACGTGGAAATCATGCTCACGGGTTCGCAGCGTCATCACCGAACTCATCATTGGCTACGCCCTCCCCGGAAGGCCAATTGCAATGATGATGTTCAAGACCTATGGGTACATTACTATGGCGCAGGCCCTGCAGTTCACCTCCGACTTTAAGCTCGGTCATTACATGAAAATCCCGTACGTCCTTCCATCCATGACGTGAGAGCCACTCTAACTCAAGGACGCTCAGGCCACGAGTGATGTTCTGGGCCCAAGTCCTCGCCGCCGCCATTGGAGGCACCGTCCAGCTCGGCGTACAGGCCTGGATGTTCACCAACATCAAGGGCATGTGCGACCCCGCACAGCCAGACGGGTTCATCTGTCCCTCGACCGAGGTGTTCGGCACAGCGTCGATCATCTGGGGCGTCATCGGGCCTCAGCGGCAATTCTCGCAGGGACAGATCTACTATGGCCTGCTCTTCTTCTTCCTCGTCGGTGCGTTCTGCCCGCTCGCGGCGTACCTCGTCGCGCTCCGCTGGCCGAACTCCTTCCTCCGCTACGTGAACTTCCCCGTCATCTTCAACGGCACGAGCTACATCCCGCCCGCGTCCGCGCTGAATTACGTCCCGTGGGCGATCGTCGGGTTCGTCTTCAACTACGTCATTCGCAGACGACACTTCTCGTGGTGGACAAAGTACAATTGTGAGTGGTTGCGCGCAGTCGGCTCTCTTGCCCGAGCGCTGACTTCGTCGTGTTCACCCAGATATTCTATCGGCTGGCCTAGACTCCGGAGTCGCGGTGTCCATCATCGTGGTCTACTTCGCCCTCCAATACCCCAAGAACGGCGCGATCGGCAAGAACAACATCCTGACCTGGTGGGGTAACACCGTCTCGACCAACACCGCCGACTTCGGACCGCAAGGTGCTGGGACGCCGCTCTCCGCCGTGCCACCTGGTCAAACGTTTGGGTACGTCCGATCTCACGACCGAACAGCACAAGTTTCGCTGACCGAGTGTGCTTACGCCGGCGTGCCGTTACTTATCCTTGACAGCCCGTCTACGTGGTGAAGGCTCGGTGTCGATGTGTATTATATATTTGTGTAGCCTGCTGCTCTCCGTTATCGCCTTGCTGTGTACTGGTTATATGTGCTCGCATGAATGTACCATAAGACTGACTGCGTCATCTTGACCTCACTTGCATATCGCGCCAGGCCCTTGGTGCCGACAAGAACACTTCTCGATGCATCGGATGCCGGAACGGCTCCGCCGAACGATAGGAGAGATCGAAGTGGGGACTGCATACACATGCGCAATGAAGTGTTCCGTGTAGATTATGTAGGAAACCGGGGTAGCCAAAGCGGGGAAACGCACTATCTCTCGGAGACCAGCCCATACGTTTTGAAACCGAGCACCCCCGTTTGTGCTCCAAGCCCGCGCCATGCGCTGTTGTCTAAATCGTACCCGACGAGGTAATCGTGACCCTGGCCTTCGGGCGGCCAGACTCGGAGCCGACCGCCTCGATCGCCTTCACGATGTCCATGCCCTCCGCAACCTCGCCGAATACGACGTGCTTGCCGTCGAGCCATGACGTTACGACAGTGGTGATGAAGAACTGAGGGAGACGTGTCGCGTCAGCCAGGCTGTCAACTGAGCGGCTCTGGAGACACGGGAGGACGCACCTGGGAACCGTTCGTATTGGGACCCGCATTGGCCATGGAGAGCAGGCCGGGCTTGCTGTGCCGAAGCTTGAAGTTCTCGTCTGAAGATAGGCAGATTGGCATCGGCATGGCGGTAGGCAAGCGCCGCCGAGGACACACTCACCTGCAAACTTCTCGCCGTAGATGGACTTGCCACCGGTACCATTATGACGTGTAAAGTCACCACCCTGCAGCATGAACTGGAGATTCCGGTGGCGAATGCGGTCAACGGATTCACTCCTAGAATGCATTGTCGCAAGTAGAACTCACGTTGGGGATG